CCCAAGTAGCTGGGACTACAGGCGCCCGCCACAAAGTCTGGCCATTTTTAGAGATGGGGGTCTCCCTCTTGTTCAGCCTGGTCTCTAACCTGTGAACTCACGCAATCCATCTGCCCTGGCCTCCCAGAATGCTAGGATTACAGGTGTGAGCCACCTGCCTAGCCCAGCTTTTTATATTTTAGTGTAATTACTTCTTTGAGATAGGTCACAAATATTTTCCTTCAGCTTGTCATCTCTCTCTTGACATTTCTCCTGGTCATATGGGCATACAACTTTTTAAGTACTCAAATTTAATGGTTTTTTCCTTTATTTTTCTTTATTGTTCCCAGATTTTAAATCATGGTTAGAAAATCTTTCTCTATTCAGAAGGAACAATCTCTTAAATACCCAAAATAAATTTTTTTCTAAATTACAGACCACCAATATTTTCTCCAGTATTTGTGTGGTTTTATTTTTTATGTTTAGATTGCTGTTCCCTTCAGAGTTTATTCTGGTGTATGGGAAATATAGAGCCAGTTTTAATTCTTTATCAAATGACTTTCCAGTTTTTTCAACTCTGTTAATTGAAAAACATGGAGACTAAAGTCTTGGATGCTCTGCCAAGTTTACCATTATTAACCTGAGTGCTGAGAATGCCGCTAAGATTTCCATTTTATCTATTGTTCCTATGTAAGAGCACATGAATCTTACCCTTAGGTCAAAACCACCTTCAGGTTATTGCACAAATTACAGGGTACAAGTTGCCTCCACGTGCGTGCAGAGGTGGCATATGCCTAGGATGGGGCTGAGTCAAAATTGCTGCTTTTATGAGTCTAAGATGCAACTGGCCCCCAGGGGAGCATAGCTGGGACAAAAACAGGCGTGGCAGCAGCATCAGCCCAGGGAAGGGCAGGAACTGAGAGCCATTTGTGATCGTGCATGCCCCAACACAGAGTGCAGCGGAGACAGAGATGCCAGCTCTGAGAGAACTGGCACAGCGGCAGTGGCACGGCGGCAGGACTGAGTCCAATTTCTGTGAACTCAAACAGCACCTGGCCCACAGGGCCAGCCAAGAACACAGTCGGTAAAGCAAGCAGACAGCCCTCAGAATGGGAGAAGATATTTGCAGGTTATATCTCTGACAAAGGTTTAATAACCAGAATCCACAGAGAACTCAAATGTATTAGCAAGGACAGAACAAGTGATCCCGTCTCAGTGTGGGCAAGGGACTTGAAGAGAAACTTCTCTGAAGAAGACAGGTGCATGGCCTACAGACATATGAAAAAATACTCATCATCCTTAATCATCAGAGAAATGCAAATCAAAACCACTTTGAGATATCATCTAATTCCAATAAGATTAGCCCACATCACAAAATTCCAAAACCATAGATGTTGGTGCAGATGTGGAAAAAAGGGAACACTTCTACACTGCTGGTGGGAATGCAAACTAATACATTCCTTTTGGAAAAATGTTTGGAGATCACTTAGGGATCTAAAAATAGACCTACCATTTGATCCTTTGATTCCTCTACTAGGTATATATCCAGAAGACCAAAAATCACTTTATAACAAAGATATTTGCACCAGGATGTTTATTGTAGCCAAATTCATAATTGCTAAGTCATGGAAGAAGCTCAAGTGCCCATTGACTCATGAATATATTAATAAATTGTGGTATATGTACATCATGGAATATCATGCAGCCATAAAAAAGATAGAGACTTTACCTCTTTCATTTTACATGGATGGTGCTGGAACATATTCTTCTTAGCAAAGTATCCCAAGAATGGAAGAAAAAGTATCCAATGTAATCAGCCCTACTATGAAACCAATTTATAGCGTTCATATAAAAGCGATAACCCTACTACAGCCCAAGAAGAAGGGGAAAGAGGAGAGGGAGGGGAGGGATGGGGGAAGGATGAGTGAAGGGAGGGTAATTGGTGGGACCACACCTACGGTGCATTTTACAAGGGTACAAGTTAAATCTACTAAGTGCAGAATATAAATGTCAACACAATAACTAAGAAAATGCAGTGAAGACTATGTTAACCAGTTGGATGAAAGTATTTTAAATTGTATATAAAACCAGCACATTGTACCCAATAATTGCACTAATGTACACAGCTATGATTTAATAAAAAATATTTTAAAAATAATAAAAATAAAAATAAATGTGGCATTCAACCTATATTACGTGTCAATAGCTATTTCTGGACTTTACACCTGGATTCATTGGTCCCACCCTTTCAGTTACAGAAGTTTTCTGTCTTGTAGGGTGAGTTCTTACTTCTCAGTGTCAGGTTTTCCTGGCTATCTTCCTGCTTTTCCCCCCATACACACTTGAGAGTCAACTCATCTAGTTCTAAAAAACACCTTGTTGATGTATTTATTGGAAACATACTGAATTTATATTACCTATTGAGGATCAGCATTTGTACCTTGATTCAGTTGTTTCTAGTGAAAAACATGCTGGGTCTTTCTGTTCATTCAGATAATTTTGTTTCTTCTTCTGGAATTTTTTCAAGTTTTATTTGTGTAAGATGTACCCTTATTTGTTTTATTTCTAGTTATTTGATCTTTTTGTTGATATTATATGGAAACATGTTTCTTCCATTACATTTTCCCAACTAGCTTTTGTCTGTGTATAAGAAAATGGTCAAGGTTTTCTCTGTCTCACTT